TTACGTTTGCTTCAGGTTAAATCTTTTCAGGTTGCGTCCCGCGGCAACCCGGAAGTACCAGAAAAGGTTACTTCTGGGTTTCACCACTCGTGCATGCACAGACGCTCAAAGTGATGTCATGCACATGCGCAGAAGCAGCAAATTGCGACCAGTGCATGCGCAGACGTGGGTTGTGTTCTGCTCATGTTGCGAATGGGGCTCCGAAAGGTTACTTCCGGGTTTCACCACTCATGCATGCACAGACGCTCAAAGTGATGTCATGCACATGCGCAGAAGCAGCGAATTGCGACCAGTGCATGCGCAGACGTGGGTTGTGTTCTGCTCATGTTGCGAATGGGGCTCCGAAAGGTTACTTCCGGGTTTCACCACTCGTGCATGCACAGACGCTCAAAGTGATGTCATGCACATGCGCAGAAGCAGCGAATTGCGACCAGTGCATGCGCAGACGTGGGTTGCGTTCTGCTCATGTTGCGAACGGGGCTCCGGAACAGATCCCGTTCGCAACCAGAGGTACCACTGTACTCTTAATCTTGGGGCCATGGGTTCGAACCACATGTTGGGCAAAAGATTCGGGTTGGATTAGATGACGCTCATGGCCCCTTCAAACTCTACAGTTCTATGATTCTATTATTCTGGTCCTAAAGATCTGGAGGATACCTGGTGATTTCTTCACTCTTCTCATATCTGCCAAGTCATTCAGGGTGGAACTACACATGGGGCTTGTAAGCAGTAACATGAGAAGGTCTCAAGTTATTTATTATTACTTATTACTGGTACCCCACCCATCTGATTCGGTGGCCCCAGCCACACTGGGCGGCTTCCAACAGAGTATAAAAGAATGTATGATACATCAGATATTAAAAGCTTCCTGATACAGTGCTGCCACTGTTTATAGTGCTTAAGTTTTCTGATAATGTCCCCCCCCATCATGGTTCCACCCTCCCCATTTGATTTCCTGCCACCCCATAATAAGAGAGGCTCGCTGGAGTTAGCGCAGATTCTTTGTGTGCCACACATGTTCTCTGAACATACCACCCCACACTTGGCAGACGAGTCTCTTTCAAAAGGGCCAATTTCATGCAATTCACTTAAAAAGGAGGAAACCAAACTCAGATCCAGGTATTTGCACCTGCTATTTTTATGCATATTAATATTTTATCCACGTTGAGGGGTGAGGAGGAGAAGGATTACAACGTGGACAAAGAGCAGATCTCAAAATAGATCGTTTGTGCCTCTGGCAACAGGGAAGCTATTTAAGCATGCAGAGACAAATTAAATATTTAGAAACTTGGAGAGACCGTTGCGAGCTGGAAAAGGGCTACGGTTTTTCATGGCACCTGCTGATGCTGCTCCAGAGGAGCTCCTGTCCTCATAAATCAGCAAAGCCATTTCATTGACTTTTCCAAGTCCATAATTTATATCTGAGAGCTACTGGGTGCCCTGCATGAGGCTGGGAGCAGATATTTGGGATGCTGCTGCTTCTTTCGTTTATGCCCCGCCCTCCCTCCTTCCCGAAGACACCTGAGGCAGCATGGTGTGTCCATGTGTCCTACTTTACAGTCTTCTTCCAGAAAGGCTCTCTGGTCCAAGTATGGTTTACAGAAGCAGAACAGAAAGGAGAGAAACCCAATGAGCTTCGTGACCGAGTGGGGATTTGAACCTGGATCTCTAGACTAAGCCCAGCACTCTAACTGCTACGACACACTGTACAGGAGAGAGTCATGTTGTGTAGAAGGAAGTTATTGCACTGGAGGAATTTACACTGTGCAGAAGTGGAGCATAGGCTAAGAAAGCCCTCCCCCTGGCAGAATCTACGGTAATAGTGGTGGGGAGGTTTAAAAACCTCCAAGTTTCACTTCCTGTATTGCAGTTTTTTCCAAATGTGGGTCTCCAGCTGTTTTTGGACTACAACTTCCATCATCCCTAGCTAGCAGGACCAGTGGTCAGGGATGATGGGAATTGTAGTCCAAAAACAGCTGGAGACCCAAGTTTGGGAAACCCTGCTTTAATGTATATATATATAATGTATATATATATAATGTATATATATAATGTATACACACACACACACAGAGAGAGAGAGAGAGAGAGAGAGAGAGAGAGTTTGCCATATTGTCACCTCTGAACTAACAGGCTCTGCAACATTTCAATAACAGTTGCTGGGAATCGCAGGAGGGCAAAATTGCTGTTGGGCTTGCAGGCTTCCCACAGGCATCTTGCTGGCCACAGTGGGAACAAGATGCTGGACTAGATGGGCCATTGGCCTGATCCAGCAGCCTCTTCTTATGTTCAGGCATGTACACAGGCCTCCCTACCAGCAAATTATTTTGTATGTTGTGTGTTCACATCTGTGTGTGTAAGAGAGAGCTGGGTGCTGCGGTGCACCCAGAGGCGGGGCAAACCGTCCATAGAGGCGGGAAGGGAGGGAACCGCCAGAAGGTACAGAAGAGGATGGGGACAAAGTCAGAATGCGTTGGCTCTGGCTCCACCTGCTTTTCGCCTCCTGCCCCAAACAGCCCCCATGGACACCAGCTGCCACTGGCCTTAACCCTTGGCCAGTTCTTCAAGAGCCACATAGCTGTGGTGGGTGTGGCCAGAAGTGGGTGTGGCCACTCCAGACCCTCCCACATTCCGCCACTCTTCATCAGTTCCATGTGGATCAGCTCACAAGGTGGATTATTGTCCTTCCCTATTCATCAAATGATGTGACCGTGTGAGGCAGAGCGATTTGCCCAACCTAGTGCTGTGTCTGGGACATGGGTTGCACTGTGGGTTAAACCACAGAGCCTAAGACTTGCCAATCAGAAGGTCGGCGGTTTGAATCCCCGCAATGGGGTGAGCTCCCATTGCTCGGTCCCTGCTCCTGCCAACCTAGCAGTTCAACAGCACCTCAAAGTGCAAGTAGATAAATAGGTACCGCTCTGGCGGGAAGGTAAACAGCGTTTCCGTGCACTGCTCCGGTTTGCCAGAAGCAGCTTGGTCATGCTGGCCACATGACCCGGAAGCTGTACGCTGGCTCCCTTGGCCAATAAAGCGAGATGAGCGCCGCAACCCCAGAGTCGGCCCCAACTGGACCTAATGGTCAGGGGTCCCTTTACTAGTGCTGTGTCTGCTTTGATTTTTCTTCTTTCAAATGCTGCCAAAATTGGTGTGGGTGCTGTGGGAAGTCTGATCCAGCCCCTGGGCTAAAGATTAACCACCTCTGCCCTGTATATATATGATAAAACTCAAGAGTAGTGGGGCAGTAAAACTGACTGCCTCTCCTGAAAACAGAAAGAAATCTTGCATGGGCAGGCTGGTAAGGAGGTGTAGCCATGGTTTTTAGATGGGATGGGGAGGGGGTACTAAGCAGGCTAGATATTCATGGGGATCAATAAATCAATGAACAAGTACTTCTTGCAGTTCCCCAAAACATGGATTCTGCTTTCTTTGGGCATTTTAGAAATTTATTGGCTTAAGTATAGTTGGTAAGAGCTTTGTACTGCTTACGCCAGCATTTCCCTCTCCTCCTTTTAAAATCTGTCTCCTTTTTTTAAGCCGAGCTATGAGTTAGTGCATGACCTCTGTGAGGGACAGTGGCAAAGATAGCTGCAAGTAATAAACTGATAGAGGGAAACAGCCTATAAATTACACCAAGTAAGGTTTCCCATGGTGATATCTCTCACGTCCTCCAGGCTCTAAAAGATGCTGCTGGAATCCCATAATAATTGTCCGCTTGGAAGGAGACTTTCCGGCTGAAAATGTCTGGTCGTCATGAATTCATACTGGGTCATGTTTAAAAGTCCTGACTGCATCATTTCTCATTTAACATGTATCAGATCTTGCAAGGAAATGTTCTGGAACTAATAATTTGAACTGAAGTTACAAAGACCAGAGGGTAGGCCTAGCTTTCCTTTAAAACGGTCCACATTTAAGCAGCCCTTATTGGCAAATTCAACTGACTTCTGGCTCCTCTTTGATGATGGCTCCATGGCCTTGCACTTCGCTCCGTCTGAGAAAGAAGAAATTAGAGACATTATCCTCTGAACCACAGCCTTACTCAGAAAACTCATCTAAATGTACAGCATCTCACCAGAATGCGGGGGAAGGAGGGGAGAAAGAAATACATGTTATGTTCCTATGATAAATGCCATAAATCTGCAGTAAGGCATAGTTAAACTCCTTCCTCCCCCCCCCCCCCGGCAACTGGGATTTATTCCCCGTAGGTTTTTCTAAATGAGACTCAAGGCAAAGCGACTATATTCTGAAATGAAATTACTCCTTTGATGATGCTGGATTTTGCTTCATGCTATGGGGATACAGATGCTTTGAGTTTCGCGCTAGCAAAACTAATCAGCCTTATCAAGTGTTCCCAAATAGGAGATGGTGAAGAATGACAAAGAAAACATTGTGAGGTTGTTTCCATAATTTATAAGGAAATGTAGAATGTGCCGCCTTCCCTGAAAAAAGCAAAAACAAAATACAGGGCAGGAAAAGGTGAACCAGCAAATGTGTATGTTACAGCGTATAAGATGGTATTTAAAAACAATGGCAAGAAATATTTGCAATATAAGATCTAAGGAGTGTTATGATTAACAGATAGGCAGGGAAAAGGCGATGGGTAGTGCGTAGAAGGAAAGATTTAACATCCAGAATTTCTCCGACAGCCCCAGGCAACTCTGCTGATTTCCATTGCTTTCTAATGAGGAGACGGAGTTGGTGAGGTCTAATTTTTATCGTCCAACATGGCTCCTAGTGGGAGCTATCATTGCAATAGCTGCACCCACTGGGAGAGATAACAGCCCTATTAGCTGAGCGGAAATGCTGGGAAGCTTTCATAAATGCCTACGAACTCTTAAACACATACAAACACACCCCACGCAACAGTAGGCCTCCTTAATTCCTCTTTTCCCTACTGAAAGCATGTTCAGGACATTATCAGCCTGTTAAAATTATAGAATTGTAGAGTTGAAGGGACCACAAGGGTCATCTAGTCCAAGCCCCTTCAAAGCAGGAATCTTTTGCCCAACCCAAGGCTCGAACCCACAACCCTCAGATTAAGAGTCTCATGCTCTGCCAACTGAGCTATCCCCAGCAAACCAACCAAGCTGCAACTTCACACCAATTCAGGAACTTGGCAAAGTCTTTTTTAAATATATATTATGGATTTTTATATTATGGATGTATGCTCTGTATTGTTTTACTAATACTATTGTGTCATACACGTTTGTCATGGCCTCTGGCTAGAACAATAAACTTAGGAACTGAAAGTAACAAACCCCCCAAGTGTCCCTATTTTCCAGGGACAGTCCCTGATTTAGAGAAGCTGTCCCAGTTTCTGATTTGATCCCGGAATGTCTCGCTTTTCCTGAGGACATCCCTATTTTCACTGGAGAAATGTTGGAGGGTATGGAGTTATCCAACCCCTGAGCCATCTGAGGGCAGCCCCCTATAGGGAAGTTTTTAAATGTTTTGTTATGTCTTTATATATGTTGGAAGCCTCCCAGAGTGGCTGGGGCAATCCCAGTCAGATGGGTGGGGTGTAAAGAATAGAATTATTATTATTGAATGGGACGTCCCTATTTTCATCGGAGAAATGTTGGAGGCTTTGAAGTAAGCCAGTGTTAAGTTAGCTAGCACAAGGGTGGGGGGTCCTGTTCAAAGTAGGGATGAACAGGGAAGTGATTTGAGCGTGTGAGTGCTCCAAACAAATTGTGCAACCTGAATTTCCTGGTATGTGATTGAATCCCACCCCTAACAGTGATAGCCTGGAAGCACCCATATATAGGTATTCAATATATTATCTGATTTCACCTCCCCCCCCCCTTTAATCTTCCCCATGCAACTCAACGTGATCTGCTTATTTCCTCATTTGGTCTCTCCTGGAGAGCTAGAACATGGGAAGGCAAACTAAGGCCCGGGGGCTGGATCCGGCCCAATTGCCTTCTAAATCCGGCCCGTGGACGGTCCAGGAATCAGCATGTTTTTACATCAGTATTTAAAATGCATCTCTGGGTTACTTGTGGGGCATAGGAATTCGTTCATATTTCCCCCCCAAAATATAGTCCTGCCCTCCACAAGGTCTGAGGGACAGTGGACTGCTGAAAAAGTTTGCTGACCCCTGAGCTAGAATGATACTCAACTAGTTGCCCAAATTTCCATTTAGATTGGTCACCAACTTTGTTCCTGGGACTAGCTCTCATTCCCCACAGCCCTGGGGCTGGATCCTGCCAGCATTCACCTGCCACGCGGGAAGCAAGACCTGTCCTAGGAATGTGAAGAAACCTGGTGCCTGGCAGAGAACTGGATAAGCTCAGTTGCTTTGGTGCTGTTTACTTCTTGAGGCACACAGCTAGCTGGAATTTTGCTGGAAGCTAAATGCAAATGCCAGAAATAATATCGAAGGTGCATCTTTTTTTTTTTAAAAAAAAGGTTGGAGACAGCCCTTATAGATCATGAAAATACACAGAGGGGGAAGAGGAGGTTGTCTCTGAGATATTCAGGGCCCTTGAGAAACAAACATCCTTGCAGATGTGGGGAAGGGTGTTTCAGATGAACTCCAGAGGTTGTGGGGTTTGCGGGGTACTGTTTGACTTTGCTTTGTGGGTTGTGTGGAGGTATGTAAATGAGAAGCTGGAGTTTGTTCCACATGGTTTTGTTGGTTCTGACAATGATGCATTGCAGTTTAATATAAATGAGGATGTTGTGTTTGGAGTATGTGTCTGGCTTGTGGAACAATCATGTATGACATGAAATGAAACTACAGTGGTACCTCGGGTTAAGTACTTAATTCGTTCCGGAGGTCCGTACTTTACCTGAAACTGTTCTTAACCTGAAGCACCACTTTAGCTAATGGGGCCTCCCACTGCCGCCGCATCACCGCCACACGATTTCTGTTCTCATCCTGAAGCAAAGTCCTTAACCCGAGGTACTATTTCTGGGTTAGCGGAGTCTGTAACCTGAAGCGTATGTAACCTGGAGAGTATGTAACCTGAGGTACCACTGTATAGTTCTCAAGTATCAGAAACATGTACTGTGTAAGCAGAATAACAGGGGACAGGAGCATAGTTGCATGCTGTGAGTTCTGTGCTGTGTTATGCTGTCCTGAGGGTCTTGGCCTGTGTGCTAGGTTAAGGCATTCACCTGGGTCCCAGGTCATGACACCCAGGTATCAATTGCATTATCTATAAATTGGTGTCAGCATTTATGTGTTCCATACAGAGGGCAAAGGGAAGGCACTGTTGAAGATGGTGCTCATCAATGCAGGACATTAACTCCCACCATATTGCCTGAAATTTGTCTGTCTTTCATAATCCATTAAAGACTGATCTTCTGAGTAATTTTTTTATATATTATATTGCAATGCTCCGAACCAAAAGGCACCACCAAGAAGCAATTGAAACTCTGGTGATAATTTGGGGACGATTTCCAGCTTTGTGCAATGGTATGTCCTTCTGCTACCAATAAAAGAACCACAAGATCTTTGGAATTTACCTCGTTAGGAATGCCTCCCAACAAATAACTTTACTGCAAAATTAGGGTATAAGTGCAAATCTTGAAGGATGGCCGTTTTGGTTCTTGTATTGTTTCAGAAAGTGCATATTTGATAAATTGGGCTTTAAATGTGAACTGAATCAAATTTGCGTGTCGAGGTCCCCAGGGCCAACCCAATAACTCACACATCACACAGAATTTTTTGTTTAAGATTTTTGGCATAATTTTGGCCACAACTTTATTGAAATACAAATTTGTGAGTGGTTGCTATGGCATTGGTTGCGACTATCTGCCCCCACCATGGGGGACAGACTGACATTCCGCACGATGTGAAAGTCAGAATAGGGGAATACACTTGGGGGTTACGCGGAGCAGGGAACCTGCCCTCACCCCAAATGCAACCAGGAGCTCATTGCTATGGCCCGAGCCCCCTTGACAGAGTGGACAAGCAATAGTTAGCCCCCAATTCCTTTAACGGAATCCCTTGCAGCAGCAGCATTAGAGGGGCAGGCACTCAACCTACCAAGGGCAGGCACTCAACCACTTCCCTCAACCAACCAAACCATAAACCAATGCCTAACCACAACCTTACAAGTTGTGACGATTTGCTACGCAGTAGGCAAAAACCAAATGGCCCCAGCCAATCAGCCAGATGGACAAAATTCCTACCAGGCCCCTGCCCCAAGAGCAGACGACCCCATGACAGGCATAGCAAGGTCAAAGCGAACAACCCTAATTCTAGGGGGGGGGATGGGCAATCCGATGCACGGTCGAAAAGAGGAAGCCCTAGCCTCGTGCAAGGAGTTTTAGCATTTCTGGCTGTCAATCAACAAGTGGCAACATTAACTTCTTCCCAACAACAAGGGAAGCCCCAATCGCATCAGTGGCCAACGAACAATTAGCCCGCCCCCAACTTTGGAGTGTCCTAGCGGCCCCCACCGCAACACGTGCTCTCCATGAAGGAGAACACACTTTCTCCCACATTTCTAGTCTCTGGGTAGCATAGCAGCAACAGTTTTTGCTCTGAGGACCTGAACAGTTGCACATACACACCAAACCATAGTTTGGTGTAGCTTTACATTCAAACCAGGTCTTTGTTAGTCTTGGATCCAACCGGAGCCTTGCAATGGAATCCCTAAATGGTGCCTTGAATAATTTTCTCGTAAGAGACAGGAGAAGCATTTACTTTGAGTTCACTATTTTAGCCATTCTCCCTGTTTTTCCTGTCCTCTTGTCCTTGCTTCCAGGAATATATCACATTGTTCCCTGACTTAAATAGCCAGTTAAGCATCTATTTCCTATAAGAGACACCAGAAGGGCTCTGCAGGCTCTATGAAGATAAATTTCTCTACATTGATAGGATATGGGATCCTATTTTGAACGCAAAGAACAATGGCAACAGATGAGACAACCAGAGTGCTACAAATTACCGGCCTTTTGGCACAATCAGAAAGCGTATGCCCTAATCACATTTCATTTCTTGCATAACAATCTTGCAAACTCTTCTCAAAGACTTTTTATGAGTTTGTGAGTGCTAGACACTTCTAAGTTTCTGGAACCAGTAAGTGTTAGAATTTAATCAAAGCTCAGCATGTTAAAACTGGGGCCAGACTCCCCTCTGTTATGAGTTTCTGGGTGCCAGACACTGAACCCCTGGATTCAGCAAATGTTAAAATATAAGCTAAGCCAGCTTCCTGGTGAGGCGATTGCCTGGGTGATGGGCCATTAGGAGAACCAGAGGAAGGTGGTGAACCATTAGGAAAGCCAAAGAAAGGGAGCTTTGTGCCAGATGGGAAGTGGGAGGGGGAATAGACCTCCCACCTTAATAAAAGATCAAGCACACTTTCAGAAAAGCATGAATAAAGTTGGTGGTTTTTGTTTTTTGTTTTGAAAATCCTGCTGCACTTCCTATTGTTCTGGTTATTCATGGTTTTTTACTTCTGCCATTCTGCAAAGGTTGCAAGCTGCCCTGCACATTTTTAAACAGCCAGTGCTTCAGACACAAGCACAAATACATTTGAAGTCTCCACGGGATGACAGGGCGGTGGAATTGAGGGCAGGGAGCGTGCTGCATGGTGCTGTTTATTTTCCTTAAAAAGAATAAATATTGAGTGGATGAGCACTGTAACACTGAGGGCTTTTCAACAGGAGAGGGCACAGCGGCTGAAGAGCTGTGTTTGTCTGAGACAGAGAGATCCATTGTTACAAAGAAAGACCACAAAAAAAAGATACTGGCATCATGAGTCCCATGGAAATGCCGCGGAGAGGGTGGTTGGATCCTGAGGAGGAATGGAAAGAGCTCAGTGAGCTGGAATTGGATTAACCCAGAGAGGGTTCGAGTGGGATTGAGGTGATAAAATCGAGACCCCAATAAGTGTCAGCGTCTGAGGTGGGGCCAGTAATCTAGGAAGTGGAGAATCAGAGAATCTTAGTGTTATGTACTGAAGTTCTCACCCTGGGCCAGCAGGGGGATACTGTAGATACTTATGCAAAGAAGGGATCGAAAGTGACGTTCAGTGATTGGATAGTTTTAGAAAATTGTTACAGTTACGTTGTACTGGAGCTCTATATAAGCAGGCTGACTGAACCCTTCAGTTCAGTTC